ACAACTCGGGTATGTATTTGTTTTTCTCACTGTTCTAATTCTCATTTGTAGGGATGTGGATTCTTACATCTCACCCGTTTCTTACCGCAGGTCTTGGTTTCATCGAGGACAATGAGATCTTCGACAACGCCATGGCCGGTGTGTGGATCAAGACGGACAGCAACCCCACCCTGAGAAGAAATAAGATCCATGATGGCAGAGATGGAGGGATCTGCATCTTCAACGGAGGCAGAGGTACGTCATCGCAATCTGTGGAACCAAATAATTAAGAAAACCTTAAACATTCAACCTATTATTTAGTTTTATATCTTTACATTCAAGTGCTACAATATATTGTATACCTGCTGAGGCAGAGTTAATTTATGAGTGGAATCGATACAGATACTTTCCTTTGTGCACTGTTGTGTCTACATCCATCTTAAATAACAGTCAAAATGCTAGTTGGCAATGGGGGCTCAATGCTTCTGTGTTGAGCTCTTTAAACTATGGCATATGACACTTGGAGGATTATATTGGATATTTATGTTTACTCCTACAGAAAATGAAGGACAAATATGCAAGCACAGTAGTCCTTCAAGTACCAACATTCATTCTGAGTCAGCAGCCAGAAACAAACTGGTTTCATGCCCAGCCCTTCGTAGTTTCTCTATGATGGAAATGTGCAAGTCAGGCTTTTGTGCCAAGACCGCAAGTACGGCAAACGATGCAATGCAGAAGAATAATATTAGTTGACTTTAATTTGTGTCTGTTATGATTTTTCTCTGGTCTAGCTTGAGTTTGTTTCAGTTTCATTTATAAATACCTTTTTTCTTTGAAGGTTTGCTGGAAGAGAATGATATCTTCAGAAACGCTCAGGCCGGCGTGCTGATCAGCACCAACAGCCATCCAATCCTCCGCAAAAACCGCATTTTTGACGGCTTTGCTGCTGGTAAGATTTTTCCCTCTAAATCCATTTGATTTGAACACGCATGACTTCAATTTTAAATAGTTTGCTGTTATTTTGTGCTTATGAAAAACTGTCGTCTTCTCCAGGTATTGAAATCACAAACCACGCCACAGCCACACTTGAGGGAAACCAGATCTTTAACAACCGCTTTGGAGGCCTGTTTCTGGCCTCGGGAGTTAACGTCACCATGAAAGGTGAACATGCTGCTGTGTTTAACTTTTTTTTCGCTTTTGTCCAGTCTGCTTACAAGCTTTGTTGTATCTGTTTTCTAATCACACCCCCCTGTTAATTTGCCATCAGATAATAAGATTCTGAATAATCAGGATGCGATCGAGAAGGCGGTGAGCAGAGGACAGTGTCTCTACAAGATCTCCAGCTACACTAGTTACCCCATGCACGACTTCTACAGGTAATGTGTCAAAGGTTCACTGCAATATGTGTATTTTTAGCAAAGCGTAAAAGATGATCAACTTTAAAAATAGTTGCTCGGGAATTATGTATACATCAGCTTGATATTAAGTCTGTTTTAATGCAGCAATGCCAAAAATTGCCTAGTCCAGCATTCAATTGTTTATTTTACGTGCCTGATCTTTATCAAATAGGATCAATAACAACAAATACTAACAACACATTTAAGACACATGGCAGTGAAAACAGACCCGTTTGAAAGCTATGTGATTATAAGAACAGATTTGAAACATTGTGCTTCTTTGACTTTTTTCCCCATCAAAATTGGAATTTACATTTTGTTTACCAATCAATGAATATTTTTGTGTTGGCTGCAAAGGTTAAAGTAATTGTCAGGTCAGTTGTTTGTAAAATGTAAAAGTCATATTTTCCCTCATTTCTGTATGTCAATGTACCTCTCTTTCTTTTGTCTCCAAGATGTCACACCTGTAACACAACAGATAGGAACGCCATCTGTGTAAACTGCATCAAGAAATGCCACCAAGGGCACGATGTAGAGTTTATACGGCACGATCGGTGAGACTTTCTTGGTATTAACACAAATAAAGGGAGAAAATTTAGGAACTATTCAATCGTAAAGAAAAGACTGAAAATGCTGTTGCTCTGTCTCAAAATAGCTTCTTACAATAAAAAGAAAAACACACTCTTAACTTATTTAAAATAACTCTTATTCACTTGCTCTGATATTTCATCCCTTCAGGTTTTTCTGTGACTGCGGAGCAGGGACGTTGTCCAACCCGTGCACGCTGGCCGGAGAGCCCACACACGACACGGACACTCTGTATGACTCGGCACCTCCCATCGAGTCCAACACGCTTCAACATAACTGAAAGCGTCTGGTCTAGTTACACCCTCTCACTTAAGCATATAAACACATTACATTGCACACAGCTATACACACACACACAGTAACACACACCCACACACACGTCCACGTGCAGCCATAAGGACCCAGAGAGACTCTGTAACTGCAGTGCTCTCAGACGGGCTCGAGGTGAGATTGGCTGCAGAGGAAGCAGCTTCCTGTCGCTGCAGTCAAACATGCTGCAGTGTGGGCAGACACCACTAGGGGAAGCTGTGGAGCTGAGAGTAGGCGGACAGAAAGGCCACAAGAGATTCCTCGCTCGAGTATTTCTTATTGCAGTCTGAAGACAAAGAAGATGGAAGATGAGGGCTGATGATGGATGCGTATAAAGTTCCCCCTGTGTTACTCCCTGGCCCACTTCTTTTTCTTCTTCTTCTTCACATGAACTGCTGTCAAAGAGACTTCCTGCTTCCTCGCAGCTGCCATCCCCATTGGCTTCCCAGGCAGTTGTAACTAGGCAACAGATGGGCGGATGTTGCTCTGTCATGTGTGGATAAAAAGCAAGATTGTGTGTGTGATGGAGCACTTGGGCTTTTTTTAAAAAAAATATATGTTCAGATCAATGGATTTTATTTCAATGCTTTCTCATGTAGTTTTGTATTTTCAAGCAAAAAGCTGACTGTATTTGAATGTCTTTTATTTTATTATATATTATTATTATAATTATTATTATTTTTCTTTGGTTAGCGTCCCCCCTCCCCACCCGACACTCATCAGACTGCAGAGACTCCAGACGTCCCAGTGATGAAGTTCTTTCTGTGAAAGAGAATCTCGTTTAAACACTAAAAACCCTCTCCAGTATATTAGCTTAAACGGCAGGTGGAGGGGCTCCACAGTTGTATAAAGGTGTGTATGCGAGTGTGTAAATGTGTGTTGTGTACAGTGGAAGTTGTGTGTATGTGTGTATATGTTTATGATTTGATGCAGTCAGTGTTTTGTGGAGAGGGTTTCAATAGGAGGCGCCAGAGCTCCTTTGAACTGGAACTAAAGAGTCGATCTGCAGCCCCCTCCCCTCCCTCGTCTTCCCCCCTCCCTCTCCCCCGTGTATCGTGGTGACTGTGGCTCCTCATGCAGCCTGAATCGTATGCATGTACCATAACATCTAGACTTAATATATTGTGAAGTATTCAATAACCATTATGTAGATGCTAGTTGGAATTCAAAAAGGGGTATACTTTCTTAGAAAGAAAAAAAAAAAGAAAACAGGAAACTGGCCATTTCTAAGAAAATAAAACTTTATTAGATCAAATGTGTCTGTCTTTAAATTCACAACCAGAACTGATAATGTTTCTGTTTTCTGTTTGATTAAATCCATATGTTGTTAAAGAACTCATGGAGGTGGTATGTGGAAAATAACTGCAGAGAAAAGTTATTTACAGAAAAAGTTTTTCAGATATTTGAACAGTACTTAGAAAAGCTGGCGATTATTGTGTTGAGTTTTTAAGTTTTGTGACAGTGAACTTTGTCAAACAGGGATATTGCTGTGTTATTTATTTGTGATGAAACATCCGGGGTGTTTTCAAACATGTTAAGTATACGCACAAGTATCAGACTCTAAATGGTTCAAAGATCTGACTCATACACTCAGTAGCAAAGTTAGCAACAGTCTGCAACCTACTTTTTAAATGTTCATGTTATTTCAGACTCCTAAAGCCCACTGAAGTTTGTTTATTCTAACCAAAGGTATTCAGTTAATTATTGAAAACTGTTTGGAAGCTAAATACAAAACTACATAGTTTAAAAAAAAGGATCAGTCTTTCAAAGGCAGATTAATTTCTTCAATCAATTTGCTGTCAACTTTATCATCCTTTATATTTAAAATAATTCACCGTTGTACTTGTTGACAAAGATTTCATGAAGATGTGGTTACGTCTACATAAAATGCAACCAATACAATACATTTACAGCTGTGGAAAAATTTAAGAGACAACTGTAAAAAAAAAAGTTTCGCTGTTAACGTTTCTCCCAATTTCCAAATATAATATTCTCATTTGCAGGAAATGACCAATTGTTAAGGTAAGATGCAGCATATTTCAGAACACTAGCTCATATTCATTTTAAGCAGAATACCAAAGTTTTCATTGAGAATGAGTTCAGAAATCAATACTTCAAGAAATAACTGACTTAACTACAGCCTTCTCCGTCCTATACTCTCTACCAGTGTGTCACTGCTGTTAGGTAATGATGACACTCGTGCATATATTCCAGCAGTTCCTACCTCAGGGTGAGACAAGAATCCTTCCATGTAGGTGGAAATGCTGATTTATGTAGATTAGGGGTAGTCTGCATTTCCTCTGAAGCTGTAGGACTTCTTGTTGACTTGTAGCCCTGATGCGTTACATCAATTATTTCTACAACTGAGATCATAAAGCAGTCTTGAATATTAGAATGTGCAGAACGAACTGTAGATAAAACAGTGTCTGTGAAAATTAAATATAATTTAGCATAAAAATATAAAGAATGTGGAAAAAGACTTACAACAGTACAAGAAGGAAAACCAAAGATCTGCCTTCACAATAAAAGTAGAAATAGTTTACTGAAAAGATCAGCTGGAACAGCTGTTAAGATAACAGTATTTATGCATAACAGCCTCACTGTCACCTGATTTACTGGAAAACTACAAATTGAAGTGTAGAAGTTCTTAGAAGCAGCCACAACTCAGCTGATAAGTGATACAGAAGATTAATGTAATTATAATCACAGACAAAAACACTCAGCAGATGAGGGAAAAAAATCTTTATTTGAAAACTATACAATAAGAGCGTTAGTGTAACTACAGTAGGTTAACTTGTATGGGATCTACAGATCAAGCCGTTTTAGCGGGAGCGGAGCGTGCGAGGAGGTCTGTGATGTACGAGTTCTTTTTGGCCACGAGCTCCTCTTTCATCCTCCTCAGCGCAGCCTTCACCTCCGCCTCGCTCATGGTGGCAGCAGGAAGTGACTTCACCTTCTCCAGGAAGTCTTGGATCAGGTTTTCGCCCACCTGAAGGATGGAGTATAAATTTTAAATAAATTACAGATGATGTCATTATTGCATCACTAAAGAAGCAGGGTGGGATTCTCTGGCAACGTCACCAACTACCGAGGTGCATGAAGAGTGAAAGGCTTGGAGTGGTTATTGCATCACTAGAAATGGCAGCTCATCAGAATAATAAGGCGGTTTTTAGAGATAAATGTTTGACTTTCTGTTTGTAATTTTCAAAGCCTGGTTATTCCAAAGTAATTAAAGCTATCGGATTGAATTTAATTTTAAACTGGGTTCAAAGAAAGGAAAGGATTTCTAAAAGTACAAGGCCTGTCAAACAATATATATATTTTTTAGCTTGATTAATCACTAAATTTCAATAGTTTATCATGATTAATCACATTTCTTTAGCCAGATGTTTATCCATTATTTCTCATAAAGGAAATACAAATATGGCTCTTATCCTTTTGAACGACTAGGCCCTGGTAACTCCAGGTATTAGTTTACCAACAAGTCCAGTATCACATTAAGTCAAACCCAGTCTATAAGTCACATAAACCTGAATTTACCTCCTGTGTGTCCAAGAGGTAATAAAAAGTTGAAATACTCTTCTGTGTGTGTGTCTCTTTCCACTGCCTTCAGAAAATTCCAAAACATGCAGTCTCTGTGAAGCCGTGGAGCTCTTTCTAGAACAATCTGTTTTCACCATGTGAAGTTTGAATGGACCGTATGGAAGCTAGTCGGATTGCAGTTTAAAAAAAAAAAAAAAACTTGAAATGCAAATTAATGAATGATTAAAACGTGAAATGATGAATGATTAAGAAAGAAGAGTTTATCTGCTTTTATTTTGTTGGATTGCTGATGTTCTGACTTGAATGAAGGATTTTACAGGATGGACTTCAGCTCATTCCTTTCTCTGTCATTGATTGTTTGAATTTCATTGTGTGAAATGGACAAGTATAAGCATGTCAAGTGTTTTGTTTCTGTAAGTGGTCTATTTACACAAATATTTTTGACTCTTATTCTTTAATGAATTAATAAAAAAAAAAAAGTTAAAAGATTAAAAATAAACTGGTATTAAAAGTGCAGCTGAGCACAATTTTACAGTAATCAAGCACGGACTAGAAAGCTTCTCCAATGTTTGTTCTGGTTTGTAGTGTATGTATGATAGTAGAGTTAAATATCACTAAACTACATTAACCACTTACAGAAGAGCTGCTTCTCAGATTAGTTTTGGGGTTAAGAGAAGTGCTTCTTCCATTCATTGCATGTAGATTTAAGATAACGATCTCGTGTTACACTTTCTGTGAGATGGTTTCTGAAAAGCATGTTTAGAAACTTCTGCATGAGCATGAAAACTGAGGCCTACTTGTTTCTCTGAGCGTCGTCTCTTTGCCTCGGGCTCTCCGTCTCGCTCTGACTTCTCTCCAGCCGGATCCTGGAACTCTTCCAGCTCCTCCGCCTTCTCCTTTGCCATTGCAACCACTGACGGCGGGAAGCAGGCCAGCTCGGCGACATGGATACCAAAACTCTGATCACACACACCTGAGGGCACATTGAAGGAAAAGATTTGTCAGGAGACTTAATGGCAGACACTGAATCTAATTATTACATACAATAAAGAACATCAAGGTAAGTTTAATGATTTCAAAGAGCATCGTCACTTTGCGTAATCAACCACTGAAGAAACGTTTACTAAATAAACCAAAAGAAGCTCTTAAATGTAGCACACTCACTTTAAATAAACAAAGCTGTATTTAAATGTTGATGTGTGTGTGCTGACCTGGTTTGATTCTGTACAGCATGGTGAGCGTGTTGTGCGTCGTCAGCGCTGTGACATGCAGGTTGTGGACAGACGATTGCTGAGCTGCGAGCGCCGTCAGCTCGTGGAAGTGAGTAGCGAACAGACAGAAGCTGCCCATGTTGGAGGCGATGTGTTCGCTGATGGCCCAGGCCAAACCGAAGCCGTCGTAAGTGGACGTTCCTCTGCCGAGCTCGTCGATTATGATGAGCGAGTTCTCCGTGGCCGAGCTGAGGGACGGGCACACGCCATGAGAAACGGCACGTCTTTCTTTAAAAAGAAGCCGTGAAGTCATTTCGTCTGTTCTTACCGTAGAATGGCCGCAGTCTCCAGCATCTCGGACATGAAGGTAGACACTCCTTTCACCTGGCTGTCACCCGCTCCAACCCGGGCCAGGATGCTGTCGATCACACTAAGCTCCGCCTTCTCACATGGCACAAAGCAGCCGATCTGAGCCATCAAAGCGATCACTCCCACCTGCCGGATAAATGTGGACTTACCGCCCATGTTTGGTCCTGCAGAGGGGAGGAAGAGTTGTATTAAAGTGTGTTCAGGCAGAATGCACACATTTACCTTCTGAAGGTGGAACTCGGTTTACTTCCACTGTGTCTTAGTTCAAACATATTTTTCGACTTTTGATGTAATTTAACACTTTACATCATGTGACCCTGTAGGTCTGTACGCCTTTTTATTTACAAAGAAGGACCTACTCTCAAAAATCATTATAATAACCAACTCTAACACAACATCTGAAGATCCAAAAGGTTGAACAATCAGACCATTAGTTCATCTCAAACCAATTCATGAGCTATTTTTTCAAATATTTACACAAAAAACAACTTCACCGAAGGATTCATTTTTTCAATATTGAGAAAATAAGGTATTTTTTTGCTTTATTTGACAGGACAGCTGTAGAGATATACATTAAAGTCTCGAGGCTGAGGGTTACACCTGTATTGAGGAGTGTAGCCTCTTGTTGGCACCTGCTCTAAAGACTAAACTGGCACCCTCAATTCTGTTCTACTTTGTCTCTTTACTGAGTTCACTCTGGTAGCTCTCAGCCTCATTTCTGGTCGCAGCTGGTCTTTCTTAAAAATCAACCAAAAAGAAGAAAAACATTGGAACTTAAGATTAAACTAATGACTCATCATAATTCTCTGAGGAATTGTTCCAAAGGATAAATTTAAATCAGAGCCTTGTCAGAGTGTTAATGGACTTTAGGTGCATTCTGAAGGTCTCGATGGGCTTGATGCATCCATGGAATAATAACGTGTGCAGGTTTAAACAAGTCAGGAGGCGGACAACTTTAATGTATTTTAAAAATAATAAAGCTTAAGAAGACACGTCCACCTCTTTCTCTCAACATTGACACCTGCAGGACAAAGAAATAACTCTGAACAAGTTGGAGCAGCTGCAGAATATGAAGAGCAGGCCTTATTTTTGTGCACGTTCTTGTTTCCTGGATTGATGGTTTAAAAATAAGCCTAGAAAAAAAAAACCTTATTTCTTCATTCAACTTTTGTATTTTGACCATCATATTAAAAGTGACTGCTTTAAAACTGCTGGGATTTTCCCGTCACTATCATTCACCTGTTATAATATAGAAGCTCTTCTCCCCCTGGGTGAAGGTGATGTCGTTGGGTATGAAGGCGGTGTCTGCGTCCGTCTCCATGCAGGGGTGTCTCGCCTGTTTCAGCTCCATGCGTCTGATGCCGCCAGACAGCAGGCGGGGTCGAACGTACGGCACGGGAGCAGAGACAGACGCCACGGCGAGACTTACCACGGCGTCCAGCTGAGCTATGACGTCGCTCAGCGTCTGCAGAGGATCCACGTAACCTGGCGGCCCAGAGTTCAACACTTCAGATAAAACGTTCACGGAGACAGGAGTCTGCTGCGTGAGCCGGCTCCAGAACAATTGACATTTGATGAATCTGACCACGATCTCAACACTTCTTTAACTCTTAAGAGTTCACAGTGTTGTGAAGTTTTTACTCTTTTTGTAGGAAACGTGATCTCTATCAGTATTAAAGGTCGTATTAGACAAATTCTATATCATCACATCATAATTTGATCTAATTGTCAAATCGATCACATGCGGAAGAGACTTGGTGAGCAGCATGTGATGAGATTTTTCACCTGAGGCGATGTTTAAGATCTCTTTGACGATGGCGTTCTGCGCCTCCTCGTACTCCTCCCGGTTCTTTGTGTACTCCTCGTTCAGGGAGCTCAGCTTACTGCAGACATGTGAAACACAACAGACCTTCAGCTGACACACTTCAGTCATCTGACGGGGGGAATGTAGTTACAAACGTTCCACACAGACCATCAGCGCCACACAGGTTATTTTTTCTTAACCTATGTTGGTAAAGTTGACCTTGGGTACATCTTCATCTTGAAAACTCTAAAGCTTTCTATTAACCATCACAAGTTCTTTAGGAAAAACTCGGGAGTAAAAGAGACGCTTTCTGGTTTAATGTCTGTGCTGTACATAGACTGAGCGTGCTGCAGGTTCCTGTAAATGCTTGTTCACTTGTGTTGTTGATTTGTTTAAGCTGTCAAAGCATTACCAGTAACCTTTATGTGTTGCTCTGTGTGCACTAAAGGTAGCGTCAGTAGCATTATTTGTTGCAGCTTATAAAAAAACATTCAAACGGGTGCAAGAATAGAACTGGCTGACATATCCCTTTAGGTATTTCAGGTTACAAATAAAGCCCCTCCAACCACATTGTGTGTGTGTGTGTGTGTGTGTGTGTGTGTGTGTGTGTGTGTGAAGCTCTGAGGTGTGTGACGCAGTGTGAAGGACCTGTTAGTGAAGCGCACTCCGTTCTTCTGGACGTCCAGCGTGGTGAACTTCTTGTTGTTCCTCAGACTCTTCTCCTCTTTGCAGGTGACTCTCAGGTAAAAACCCAGCATGGCGTTTGACTCCAGTTTCACCGTCTTTCCAGCATCCAAACCTGAAATACAAAAAGGATTATTGTGATTTCAAACAAAGTTCAAACTGAGCTGCAGCGACTCTTCAAAAGGAATCCAATACAGACATTTGGAGGTCATTAAGGTGGTACGCAAAGAAATCTCCACAACATTAAAAAACAAACCCGTTCAGCATAAAACAACATTTTTTTTTCTTGTTCTCTTATCTAGCTTGTATCTATTGGGTTGTATTTATATCAAATGTGTTTTCCCCTCTAAATTAATCTAATTTTTGAAACAAACAACTTTAATCTGCTCAATTTATGCTCACACACAGACATAAACAACAACAGCAGTACGCCTCGCTTTTTGAAAAGTTCCACTCGACATTCCGTTATAGTTCAGTACTGAAACAACAGCAAGCAGCTGTAAGCTTACATTAACAGATATTCTGTTATTTATTGGAGTTCAGCAAAACGGAGCCAGGAGAAGCTTCAGTTTTGATGCATGTACGGAAAGCGGACCTTATCGCTCCTCCTCCCTCCCTCCCTCAAGAGGAAACAATGGTAGTGCCTGGTTAGGACTGGAGCAATGTTGATAGGCTGAAAGAGTACATTTTAATAAAGTTCCCTCCCTCCCTCCCATCAATATTACATCCTGCGTATGTAATCACCCAGTTCTCTGGCTGCACTGTTCAGCACGGACTGCATGCTCTTTTCCAGCTCGTCCATCTTTTCTCTCAGCTCACTCAACACGGGGTCAAAGGACGCCTTCACCAGGAACTCATGGTGGTCAATCTGCATGACAAGCAGGATATTGGAAAAACGAGTATATAGTAAATGAATAAGAGGTAGAACTGACGAGATAGAAAAATACAGGAGTGCACATGAGAAAGAGAAATGCTTTAACAGACCTGGTTCATGTCCAGCGTGGTTTCAATCATCTCCTGATACTTAGCGAAGTCCGTCAGCAGGTCTCTGAAAGGAGAGAGGAACGCAGCCTCCAGCAGAACCTGGTAGCTCCCTTCAAAACACACGAGTAGAATGAAGAAGTAGTACATACAAGGCATTGAAGACGATTTGACAAAGAGTCATTTTAGGCTAAACCCCAAGTATAAACCCTACAGAGTAGATATGGGATTTTTAAGGCCTTTGCAGACAGATTTTAGAGGGAAAAATGGACTGATTACTGATGTGACCGCTCATATAGTGAATTTTAGAAATGTGATGGATTTTGTATTTATGTGACCTGCAAAGATACTGAGAAGGATGCTCTCTGAAACAAATAAGTGCTTTAAAAACAAACAAAATATAAAGTCTTAAGTGCCATGTTTTACACACTATGTGATATGTGAAAAGGCTTTTAAATCAAAGTAAAGTGTAAAACTTGTAAGCAAACACTAAAATCAGTATTGGATGATATGGACAACCAATTTATCACTCAGCTCCCGACATCTTTGGCAAGCTCAGGTATAACGAGCTTCTTTTAGGTTTTTCAACAACACCATGAAAAGGCTTTTAAATCAGCGCAATGCTCCTGCACAAATGTCGTAGAAACGATAGCAGTACACGCGCACATATGACATCTGCAGGTGTGTGTACCTGAGTATCTTTCCAACGCTGTGATGAGGGCGGGGATGTGGCTCACTGCCTGGTAGACGCGGTAACAGTCCTGCAGAGATGCAGAGTGACGGTGGAACTTCTTGGACAGACGGTGCATGTCAGGAAACCGACGCAGCAAGTCTTCCTGGCAGGTCTGCCGGAGTTCCGAGTCGCACACGAAGCTCTCCACCAGGTCCAACCTGAACACACAAACACACACACACACACACACACACACACACACACACACACACACACACACACACACACACACACACACACACACACACACACACACACACACACACACACACACACACACACACACACACACACACACACACACACACACACACACACACACACACACACACACACACACACACACACACACAGAGAGGATCATCACAATCTGTCAATGAACGCAACAAAAATATCCATCTAATCTAAAAATTTCCCTTCATACATCTTCTCTTCTAAGGTGGGATCTGTTCAGTGTTCCCGTCCGGATCTTTACCTCTCCTCTATTTTGGTTTTGTCCATGAGCGGTTGTTTGATCCACTGGTTGACCAGCCGCTGACCCTGCGGCGTACGACACTTGTTCAACAAACCGGCCAATGAGTGAGCTCCACTGGTGTCGTCTGGCGACCCCTGGAGAGAAGATGTCAGAAAGCACGTTTGAAAGTTCTGTATTCTGTTTTAAAGAAACAAAAAAGATGCACGGTCAGCAAATCTATACCAGAAAATAAACCTCTTCAGCCACGTAGCGCGGTAAGTCACAACAAAAGGAGAGGGCGCCGTTTGAGGCTTCAATGGACTTTGCAAATTTGTCTTACTCAACATTTCACATCCTTCAATGTGATTATTGCAAGATCAAAAATATTGATGCCGAAAATGTTTCCTTTTGTCCTTTAACTACTTTGAAACCGCTTTAGCATAAAGTTATGAGAGTGGTTTATTTCTTCAGTTTGAACTTAGGATCACAAACAGAAAATCTTCCTAATTGGAAAGTTATACATGACTGACTGATTAATGCAAAACTTACTTTAACCTCTTACGACATTTATATGTGAAAATACTTTCCACATTTATTTGACTATGTTTATTTTTGTAGTTTTTTTTTTTTTTTAAACTACAACGGACACCTGGGGGAAACATGAGCTAAAATGAGCTGTCACTGACCTGGAAGAGGTTCAGGGCCCTCACAGCAGCGTTGTCGAGCCTCATGTACTGACCCAGCTCCAGGGAGGTCAGACTGAACGAGTTAAAGTTTGACTCGTCAGAGAGAAGCTCGAGGAAACGCACAACTGCCGCCAGGCACGACATCGCCACCTGAGAATGAAAGCGCACACACATGGAAGTCTGATCAAACAGTTAAAATGTTAACTTTTGCTTTCTGTTCAGGCAGGGGGAATACTTTAAACCAGGGCTTTTCATTATATATTACAAGAGTAAGACACCAAAACACATTCTGGTTGTTCAATCTCGATCATGCAAAGGCAAAAGAATCCTCAGGTTTGTCTTAATACTGACTTTTAAATGTTCCATTTGGTTACATAAACCGTGAATATGTGAAATGACGTTCCCTCCTCGCTAACAGCTTCATTATCAGTATTGTGTTGTTGACCTGTTTGTCGAGCTCAGGCAGCGTGTTGCTGGCCACCGTCTCTCCTCTCTTGGCCCTCAGCAGCCTGTTGAGATCCTGCACCATGTCCTTACTTTTGAACTCCGCTCTCTTCCTGTCAGAGACCAGCAGGCCGCCGCGCTGCACCACCTTCACAAACGCATCACAAAAACATTTTTTGGCAGCATTATTTGTTGTTTATTAGGTATTATAGAACTTTGTGATCGTGCACAGATGTTTTTTTGCTGTTTTCATGTCGTAGCCCCGCCCACCACGTACCTCCCGAAGTTTAATGCCGTCCGTGTTTCCGTCGCCCTGCGCCAAGAGACACTCTTTGGGGCTGATCTGGACGAGCAGCGACTCCAGGTTGGAGAAGATCTCGTTGTCTGGAAACTCGCACACTCCCATCGTCCTCTGGGCAGCGTCAACATAGCCGACCCCGACCACGCGCTGCCCGTCAGCTCCTGTGGCCAAACGCACTGCGACGACTCCTGCGCAACCCTCTGCTCCGGCTCCTCCACCAAACAGAATCTCCTCTAACTGAGTCAAGTTCCCAGGAGAGGCCTGATGGAGGAAGTGGGCGAGAAGGATAAAGGACAGAGAGAGAGGGAGATTATAACAAACATACAAGTTTGTTTTTTTTGGCCAATAGGGGGCCAGGAAAAGATTGAATAGGAAAAGGTGGAATTTCAAGTATGCAGCTTTTCACATTTGATGTAATGTTCTTTTGTTATATGTAATAACAGGCCGTTTGTCTTTTCAAGATTCAGTCTCATCAAACAAATGACTGATGGATTTATCAAGAAAATAAACTGGATATTAATTAGTAATGAAAATAGTTGTTCCAACATTTGAGGAGTTGATCTCTGATTAAATGCATAGCAGTGGAAGAGAAGCCAGCCTGCTCATCAATCTCAGTTTAAAGACCTTAAGAGTCTCTCAGATAAGCTGTCAATTAATTAAAGTAACGCTGAGACAATCCTGTCTGGAACCAAGACAACGATGTCAAGGACACACAAGCTGAAAAGTTTTACACATGTATTATATCAGTCTTTATAAAACCTGAATGTATCAGACACAGGACGGACTGAAGGAAAGTTCAAGCATAATTAAAAAGCTAAATCATTCAGTTTGAGAGCATGATTAAAAAAAAAAAAATCTTAAGAATCTTTGAGAATCTCTGTGGGATATGGCTGATGGAGATAGGGGACTTGACATTGAGAATAAGGCTTGGGTTTGAAATCAACTCGCAGTAAGGACTCAGATCTAATGAATGAGGCCCATGCTATATCAGGTGTGCCGATGAGCTGCCTCAACTCATCCAAATGGTTAGAAATGAGATACTGAAGCTGGCAGCGGAAGTCATTTTGCACATTGTCTGAAAATGCAGAATCCAATTTTGCAACAACAAAAAAAAACTAGAATTTCACTGCAGATACCCCATTCCTCAACTCAGTGCAATCAGATTAAAGAAATCCATACAAGGAGGCTGTCGTCTCAAGCGGGCGGCCCGGGTTCACATCCCACCTGTGGCTTCTTTCCCGCATGTCGTTCCCCACTCTCTCTCTCTCCCTGATTTCCAACCCTATCCACTGTCCTATCTCTCCATTAAAAAAGGCACAAAAAGCCCAAAAATAAATCTTAAAAAAAAAAAAAAATACATACAAGATTATTTTTTTTAATTAAAGGGGTTGACAAACTTTAAACCACAGCAGTGGCTCAAAATGTGCAAATTTTGCAATGACGGTACGAAACCTCCCTATGGGGGGCCCCATCTGACAGCGCTCACCCTGTTCGCCCCTTCTTAGCCTCTCATGCATTATTCCTCTGAAAACCGAAGTTTGTCAATGAGAGTCACTGGAGGAAACTGAAGAGGAATTATCTGTCTGAGAGTTAAAATAGAAAGAGGAAAAAGGTGTCAGGACATTGTGGCAAACATAATGGTTTATGGAGGGCCGCCCCTATTTGTAATTTATTCCAAGGATAGCCCCTCGAGATGCATCATCTCATTTTCAAGGGGGTCCTTTACGAAACATAAATTAATCATCACAATGCAAAATCAAAATAAGAATAAAGTAAATCCAAAACATAATACCAAACATTTAAACACAGAGACACCCACACCACAAACACACTCACTCACACTTAATGCTCCCCCAAGCCTAGCCACCCACCAACCAGCCAGTATCACACAATCAGAAAAAAAATAAATAATAATAATAATAATCATAATAATAATCATAATAATAAAATAATAAAAATAAAAAATAATTATAAAAATAATTATAAAAAATAAATAAAAATAATAATAATAAAATAATAATAAAAATAATAATAATAAAACATTAAAAATATATTTTGCATAGGGCCCCATCAGACTGCAGAATCGCCACTGCATGTAACAGCTACTTACAATATGTAACGACCTTATGGACAGCTGCATGCATAACAAACATGTTTAACTAACATAAAGCACAGGGACACTCCTCCTCATGGATCTAAACACAGTACCTTGAACTCGATCCTCCAGTCGTGCTCCTTGCTGCTCTTGCTGTGGTTTTTGTACACCTCCACTCTGTACTGCCTCATTAGCAGCAGGTCTTTCGCAAAGGCCTCAAAGTTCAGTTTGCTCAGGACCACACTCTCCAGCTTACGACTCCCTGAAGATCAAAATGCTCAAATTAAATGCAGAAACGAGCAACCGTGTATAACAGCACCGAGCAGGGTAGCTTAGCTTTCGGCTACAGGGAGTTCGCACTTCAGATAAAACAGAATTAACAACATGCAACAGAGTTAACTACCTGCAGCCAGATTAGTGGCATTGTTAGCTAAGCTTCAGAAGCTATTCGTGTGTACCTGAGCCCAAGTATTTGATGACCCCATTCGTCTTGAAAACTTCCTTTGCTGCGAATATGGCGTCCTTTCCGTGGACAGTGTAGTATTCGTTGCGGTCAAATACCCTGAAAGTCGTGTCCGGTTTTTCCGGCATTGAGAAAACAAAGTTAAGAAATCCATGCTCGGCTGCACTGTCCATAGACAGGTTCTGTTTAGGTTGGACCGCCATGCTGAAAACTCCCGCCACCGCTGGTGTCAAACCGGAACTACGTCATTACTTCCCCCTTCTTTATCGTTTACTGTTGCTTTTTTTTTTTTTAACATTACCGCCACCCACTGGTGCCGATAGAGAGTTTAATTCATATTTTTTTAAAAAGTGTATAAATTAATTAATTAATTAAAATAATGATAAATGAACAAAAAGACAAAACACCGTTATAAATAAGTAGTCAAAGAAATACATTAGAAAAAATAAAATTAAGTTGAATTTTCTAAAGATAAAGATAAACTTTATTGATCCCTGTGGGGGAAATTTGTGCATAAATTCGCATTTTTAGGATATTGAAACAAAATAAGATAGCATATTTCCAAAGATTTTCAAACGCAAAAGTAAAAGTATAACCATATCCTTTGTAGAAACATCCAGAAAACTCACAATAACATTATATATGTTTGATATATAATGTTATATAATTTATGTTTAGAGTTTTTCCTTGTATTCTTTTCCCCATTGCCTGTTTCTGTTTTAATTTTTTTTTAAAACCCTTCAATAAAAAAGAGGGGGGAAAAAAAGAAAACTCACAATAAACAACGTAAATATCAGAAATTCATTAAAAAGTGAATGCTCATAATATCCTATACCTTTTCTTATTTATTTATTTATTTTTTAAATGTCTAACGTAAATATTTTTACCTGAAAACGTAATCAATTAATCAAGTCTAACATAAAACAAATGGAATAAAAGTGTTGCAAAATGAAAAAAATCCTGATCACAATCAACAAACACACCAAGTAACACACCAATGATTAGGTCTATCCAGAAAGTGAGTGGTATTGGGAGGTTTACTGGTCCAATGCCACTCACTATAGTCCATTCTGGTAGTTGTAGTTTTACTCTGGTCAAGTGACACCTCATATATGTTCGAGTCTTCCTGCAGCATACAGAGAGCATATAGTAGTACGTTTCAGAAAAAAAAGCATCTTTGAAACTTGGATCATGCAGGTTAACCATCTAAAACAAGCGAATTCAATCCAGTAACAAACACAGCAACAAATTTGTGGACGAAACCTGACTATGTATTGTAACAAAGTTATAACTATTGCTTGATGTAAAATGAACAGAACTGATGTACGGACCGAATGAAACCAAATTGATTGTCCTCACAGGGATCAGGAGATTGTATTTTGGTTGTAACTTTTCCTGCACAAATCCATTAACTGTGAAATTGCCATAGTAAGCACTCACCACATGCAGGGGGCAGCATCTCAAAGCTAGACAGAGGTTCAACTTTGTCAAGTCATGAGCTTGTATGCAGGCTGTAGTCCTGTTAGGACCCCCTTCAAAACGAGATAGTACATCTCAAGGGGCTTTTAAAGTAAAAAATAAAAACGGTTTTGTTTGCTGATATAGAAATCTTCTTTTTGGGGGGGAAACGTTCATTCTCACAACACATGTGAGCGTTTGTTAATAAGGACAGCCATATGGAGAGAGCTTTGAGTTCAGATCCAAGCTGACAATCTTTATTTGTATAAGCCTCAGCAAAATACCCATCTGTAAACATAATAAAGATTTGCAACATCCTGTCTCTATTTTAATTACTGTTTAACTTAATAGCCTATTTGTGGTTATTAAAATAATCAGTCTGATGATGGAATATTTCAACATCAATTGGAAAGACATTCATTGTGCCAAGACGTGGAAGTTAATTGACTTCAGTTGGCACCTGACTGTTTTTCTAGTGCTATCAGCAGGTTGACATTTGGGGCTAAAGTTGAGAAAATCTAAGCAACTTCCAGGTGGATTGCATCGAATTGTTGTAGATATTTAAGGCCCCCACAGGATATATTCTTGTGACTTTGGTGGTAATCCCCCAAATTTATCAAATGAAAATAAAAACGTGTTTTGTATAGTTTTAGCTATAGTTGAAGGGTGGTTATGTTAAGGCAAAAAAAAAAGAAAAAAGGATAGCTTCAGAAAAAGGAAATGATTCTGTTAAAATTATGAACATTTTTTGAGGAAAACAAAACCTCAGTTTAGTTTAAAACGTCTTTTTTTTAGGATTGGCTTCTTCATCATGCTTATTATTATGAACAAGGGTATCTAAATCAAAGGCATGGAAAAAAAAAAGGTTGAAATTGCAGCAGGTTCCAGTGTAATAAATGTATGATTCGATTTTTTTCGCCTGACCTGCTCCCACAGCCTTTTCTATCTGAAGCAACATCACCTGATTTCCTCCTTTGCTCTGCTCATTAAACACAAGAGGTGACAGAAGGCTTTCAGAAGACTCAGAAATGTAAATATTATATCATATATAGTCAACCTTATTGGAAGGATGCTCTGTTTAACTTTGGTTTACTGCACATGCACAGGTGAACAAAACATTTCGAATAATCTCACCTTGAATGCCTTTAAATCATCTAGATGATGGGGATGTTGGCAATATGTGCTATCATGTTAATACACATACACTGTTGTTCAAAAGTGGGGGTTTTTTTGTCTTCAAATTTTAAAAATATCAACCTTTTTTGCATTCCTTATTCTGCAGTTCTTTCATTGATCCACGAGGAACAAACTGTACCGGAGCACTGGTAGCTCGAGAGTCCACTGTAACTCTGTAGTATTTACACTGAGCTCTGATGACTGTAATGTAAAGATTACCAAGCTTTGTCCATCATTAACACCTTCAAAACAAAAAATCTTTTCATATAAACTTTTTTTAACCATTGTGACTCATTTTTCAGGATTGGTAGCTGAAAAAAAAATCATACTTATAGATACCTTTTTAACTGCTTGTAAAATAAATTAATATTAATGCCATTGCCAGTTGAAGGAGAAATCAACAGCCTTAGTGATTTTTGCAAAAACTTGTGCAAACTTAACCAGACCTGTATGCAAATATCAGTAAACATTGTAAATTTGGACATTCAGACCTCACATCCTTTGACCAAACTGATTTGACACATTTCTCTGTAACACCTTGTGATAGCGTGGTGCTTTTTAAATTGTGTTTATCTCTTATCAATACATCTTAGCCTATATGGATCAAGTGTGTTTTGCAGAGTTGGTAAGTTGGAGTCAACTTTAAGAAGGCTTAATATGCTGGGCTGCACAAATGCCGTGTCTCCACGTGAGGTCACGAGGCAGCAGATATGTTAATGAGCGGAATAGGCATATATGCCTCTTTCTAGTTTCTTTATTTTATTGACATAACTTTATTCGGAAGTCCAGTAATGGATGGGGACAGGAGATTATACAGTAGGCTACGAGTCAAGCGATGAGATGCGGAAAATTCAGATGCACGATAGGCCAGTTGTTCTGAGAGGGGAGGTGGAGAGGAGGGAGTGATGACATTTAACCCAGCTGACGAAACTAAACCTTTGACGTAGGCTGCACCTTGACAAATGAGAAAGTGATGCGCACTCGGCAGCTGGTTTGGGCTTTAAAAACGCTCCCGAAACAAGGTGAACCCACCAAAACCCGCCTGTCTCAACTTCCAAGGAGTCAACTCTTCTCCTCCTCCTCCTCTGCCAGAGCACAGTAGCACCCGCTCCGACATGAACGGCCTCTGCAGCGACCCCGTGGAGGAGTTCAACTGCAACAAAGCCTTCAGCGACCTCATCATGGAGAACAAGAAGACCGCCGCAATCTTCAAGCACGAGAAGTCCCGCAAAGAGGCTGAGGACAAGATCCGCTTACCAACACTGGAGGCCGCCTACACCAGCATCCTGCGGGACCTCGGGGAGGACACGGACCGGCAGGGGCTGTTGCGCACGCCGCTACGCGCAGCCAGAGCCATGCAGTTCCTCACCAAGGGCTACCATGAGACCATCGACGGTGAGTTAGCAGGTGTCTCTGTGTGGTCTCTGGGGGCTGTTTTTTTTGTGTGTGTGTGTGTGTGTGTGTGTGTGTGTGTGTGTGTGTGTGCGTGTGTGTGTGTGTAGCCTATTTATAGTCAGTTATAATGATATGGTTGGTCTCTTCAATGCACAGAAAACACTATAATGGAACAAGTGTGGAATTTCAAAGTTTAATTTAAAGGCATCAAGGAGGATTTTATTCACTTTTTAGTAATTAGTTTCCTGAAGAAAGTTGCACTGGATTGCATTTATCTGTATTGAAATATTGTTGCTCCTCCAGGTAGAGCCACCTTTCTATAGAATGAGGTGTTCCTGAATCTGTTAGATTACTGATGTAATGAGTCTAGGGCTGCAACAACTACTTGATTCATAGAAGTACAGAAAATAGTCAACAATTGTGATGGTATTTGTGGAAAAAAAATGCAAAAAGGCAGTCCATTTCTTTTTTTTAAATGTTGATATTGTTTTTCAAATTTGGCCTTTGTTAAAATAAAAAACCAAGCTGTATCAAAGATTATTTTGTTCATTTTACACTATTTTCAACTATTTCCAAGAGTATGGAATTTCCTCAATCTTGTTTGTGCCTTGCAGATATCTTAAACAACGCCATTTTTGATGAAGACCATGACGAGATGGTGATCGTGAAGGACATCGACATGTTTTCACTGTGTGAGCATCACTTGGTGCCATTTTTTGGCAAGGTAAAGTATCTGTGTGTGTAGTGTCAACCTAAAGTGATATTAAGTGGATATCATGTGGAGGGTTTTTGGGTTCAAAGCAAATATTAGATGATCTCAAAAACAAACAACTGCCCACTATCACCCTCGTGCTGTGTTTCTGTTTTCCACCTGAACAGTGTGTTTTTACTTTGCTCTCTGATGGTGTGACCTCTGCCCTCATTGGTTGTGGTCTCTTTCCAGGTTCACATTGGGTATATTCCCAACAAAAAAGTGGTGGGACTGAGCAAGCTTGCAAGGTAACACAGACACACACACACACACACACACACACACACACACACACTAGATACCCTCCTGCTGTCACTGTGGCTTTATGTTTCTGGTGTTAGTGCCGGGTGGCTGTGTTCTTCTGTTATCTCAGTGCATTGACCTGGAGGCTTAGGTCTAAGCCCAGAGGCCGTCATCTAGTCCCGCTCATCAAACTCACTCGCAGACACAAATCTAAACTCTATCCGCTCTCGAGCCATGAGAAAATCCCTTCAGACCTGTGGGAATCAGCCGTTATTATCACAGCCTCTCATGTCTGTCCCTTCTCATCCTTACTTTCAAATATCACACCGTCTCTGAACAAACAATCCCAGATAAACAGAAACAGATTCACAGATTTTGGCTGTGTTTGAATCTTGCCCTACAGATTCAGAGAATTGTGTAGGGTGAATGATTCACAGATGAAGGGTCCATACCACTGGACAGACTGAGTGAAGGCCAGGGTACAAGGGCTGATGCCAGTCTCTATTTATCAAAAGATTAATCATTGTTACGTCTACTCTGTAATCACTCCTCTCCGCTATGCCTGTGTTCTGGTTTCCGCAGGATTGTGGAGATCTTCAGTAGGAGGCTTCAAGGTGACCAAACAAAAGCATTATGAATACATCAACAAGATTCGTATCAAGTCACAGAACTTTTTACTAATGTTATAATATTTGTTCTCTTTTAGTTCAAGAGCGTCTGACCAAACAGATCGCTGTAGGAATATCAGAGGCCCTGCAGCCAAAGGGCGTAGCTGTTGTTATCGAGGCAGCGTAAGTACAAACACACTCACAGGCACAAACACAGATCCCCTTCATCATCCTCATAATGTTTGAATCATCACAGAACGGAGGAGAGTCAGTCTCTTGTCGCAATAATCAAAGTTTCATTTTAACTTCCATCCTTGTGCTTTGGGTAAAAATGACCGTTAGATGTTATATGAAGATGCAAGTAAACGGGGCAACCTTGGACGCATTTGAAGTAATTTAAATGCAACTTATTAAGAATAATAAATACAATATTAATTTTACAAATAAAATGTTCAATTAAAGTAATTTTGAACAATCCGATTTAAACTCTGCTAAACCAACGATGTATTATGAACAGTACTTTCTGGCTGTTTAAAGCTAGCTCATGCAAAATTTTGCTTAATTATTTTCTATGCTACTGACTTCAAGACTCTCCTGCACTTTTGCTACTGTTACACGGTATTGCAGCTTTAACCATGAGCCTTCAATTGTCAAAGCAACTTCACAAGGTAGCCATGCCCTTAATCATACTGTGATAAATCGTCTACTTTAATCTTAAAATGACCATAATTGATTAAATGAACTTCATGCTTTATAAATAAAGACCTGACACTAGCACTTGAAACTACAAAAACCTTCTTAAATAAGAAAATTGTTACTTAAAATATGTAAAAATTCAGTGAGAAGTTGGGTTATTTTCTCATGAACTTCTTTAAAATCTAGATGATTTTATTTCAAACAGGGGAGTCACTTCTTGCTGGCCATCAGAAATATTAAAGGGTTAGGACTAGAGTCAACTTTTATGTGACTGTGCCCCAGATGTTTAAAATTAGTTTGGTTTCCTTTAAGCACATGTTTTTCATGCTACAGACTTTCCTCAAAGCATTTTCTAAAATCTGACCAGTATGTGTGCATGTGTGTGTTTGCAGGCACATGTGCATGGTCATGCGTGGAGTCCAGAAGATGAACAGCCGCACAGTGACGAGCACCATGTTGGGAATTTACCTCGAGGACCCCAAAACCAGAGAGGAATTCCTGACTCTTTCACAGACAGCCTAACTGATGTCATACACCATTCACTCCCGAGCCTCTGTTTACTGTAGCACACAGAAAGCTCTAGAGTAACAGTGGATCCGCATCTGACTCTAATTTAAGAAAACACACAAACCAATAACAGGTCAATATAAAACTTCTGTTTGATGCAGGGTCCAAACCAACTCTGAAGCTCACCTCAATACACTCAAGCCTGATAGATTTCAGTCCTGATGCAAAACTCCATCATTTCAATTCACAGTGAATATAACAGGAATTATTACTCACATTCATGGTGCCTTTGGTAGTCTTACAAAGCAATATTGTTGTATTAAAGTGTAAAACTAAGTGCAATATTGCTACTTGACAATACTTTTGATGGGAATTTAACTGGTGCTTTACCTTGCTTTATTTTTCTGCATATTCAATCCAATGATTTTAATAATTTTACTAGCTATGTGTCCTTACATTCACAATAGTTTTGTATATGATAACATTTTTAAGATTTAAATTGAAATTGTTATACCTGTACGTACATTTTTTTTTTTTTTAATTCTTAATAGATTTATGTTTTTATCAATGAACAGTGTTGCATGTGTTTGAAAAATGATTTGCCGAAATAAAAATATGCAAACATTATAAAAGATGCCAACCTCACTTTGTTTTTGTCAGTGTGAAAATAACTGGTGAGCCAAAGTTTCAAGCTGTTGTGTTTGGTGAATGATCCTCTGAATGATATTGATATTTTTCGTTTCTGTTATCAGATTTGAGAATGCAAAAAAGTTACAAGTTGAAGTATAGTTATTGGCGCAGTGGTTAGCGCGCGCCCCATGTATGGAGGCCATGGTCCTCCAAACGGGCGGCCTATGTTTGAATTCCACATGTGGCTACTTTCCCGCATGTCGTTCCAAACTCTCTCTCCCTGATTTCCGACTATTCACTGTCCTATCTCTCAAATAAAGGCACAAAAAAGCCTAAAAATAAATCTTAAAAAAGAAAAAGATCAAGTATAGTTTAAGAAAAGATATTAAAAAACAATGCAGGTTGCTCTGCAAGGCTCAAGTTAAAGACAATTTGAGCAATATTGGTAAAAATAGCATAAAAACAAAGCAACAATGACTTTCGAAGAAAACAATATTCAACATAATGTTTACAGTCTTCTTCATGTAATTCAGGCTTGCTAGCATGCTTAAATTCGACTGAATTCATGAACCCAACGTTGGATGAGTTGGAATTTTGACCTGATAAAAGGAAAGGTCAAGTGAAAGAATTAAGGAATTGGGATGTACTTGATCAATCAGGGATGTTCAGTTTTTATTAACCTGTTTTGAAATAATACCTTTCAGACAGAAAAAAAATCGGTTTCCTGTTTGCGAAAGAACTTCACCAACAGTTATAATGAAGTTGGTGTACCTCAGGGTTCACCTTTAGGTCCACTGTTATTTACTATGTTTATTAATAAACTACCTGAATCGATGCAACCACTTTTACTATATGTATGCAGATGATACAGTTATATTTATTTATGCAAAAAAAAGGCAAGCCGAAACAAATCTGTGTAACATTGGTCGATATCTTTATTTGGATAGAAACTTAATGTTCACATCTAAATGTCAATAGAAGTGTGTAAGTTGTATTTTGGGTCTGTAAACAGAGTTCCAGACCAAGATCATATAGTATAGTAGTAATATGGAGAATACAACCAGCAGTTCATGTATTTGAATATGGAGGCAAAATAAAAATTCACAACAGGTTCAAAAGGTTGTGAACAGAATCAAATTCAAAATGGAAAATTTTAGATGTATAGGGAACATTTAACTACTGATTCTTATAAGTTAGCTCAGAAACATTGGGTAAATAGTAAAAATTGTTATATAATTGTTTGATTTAATCAGAATTGAATTCCTAAAGCTTTGGAAACATGACTAAAATTGCTTATGTTTTAAATTTGCATAACACTTTTCCTTGTTATGCCTTTCCCCCTCTTCATTTAACCATAAAACCAAATCAACAGTCTCTGGATTCCAATAAACCTCTTAAAACAGTGGTATCCGGACAATCAGATAAACTGTCACCAATCATAATTTGGTCATTGTTTTCCTATTAACTTTACCAAATGTGCGTTCTTGTAATTATGTGCTCAGTAAGTTAGTGCAAATGAGTTTCTGTGCTTTCTAACATATTTTCACATACCATAAGCCTCCTAGGGACAGCCAATCAAAGTTAGTTTGTATGGCTAAATCAGTGACATTTACATAATAGACTTAAATGCTCCTGTTAATTAATGTGCAATGCCATTCTGAAATAAAATACACCATAACATGTCTTGAAACTGGAGGGAAAATAAGGGGTCAAGTAGACATAGGGCTTCATCCTCATATCCAAAATCCTTAAAAAGTAAATATTGAACATCATGTGTACTATTACACATGAAGTTGATGTTCAACAGTATTTTGCGTCACTGATGGACTTCATCCACATTACCTGAGCATTAAAAGTCCCTATGGTCGGTTGTATAATAGGTACAAACAGGGATGTTAAAGTGATGTCCCCAAATGCACCACATCACAGAATAACTGGAGCCAAAGGGCACAGATATAACAAACTAACAAACAAACGTGAGGATTAAGACTTATATAAACCAGTGATAAAGCTGTAGTAAGTGCAACCAGAACTGACTGTTTTCTTTTTTAGGAGGGGGTGGTAAAATACTAGAAATATGTTTTTTTTTTTGTTTGGCTAAACCACTTTAAAATCCGACTCCCAGGCTACAGTGATTACTGTTATGGCCTGTATTAGCCAGAGACAGGGGACTGTTTTTCTGCTGTGGTACCAGGGCATAAATCAATAATGAGACACAAGCGCGAGTGTTCATGTGTGGTTGAAAGCCTGAGGGAGAGAAAGGCCTTTAAATATCAAATGCCTGTCGTCAGACAACCTGTGAACTATAACCTCAGTCTCTGACAACACTGGGAGGAGAGCATGCAGTTTCTAAATCGGATTTTGTAAAGGTAAACCAATTACTACCGGCATACAGGGTGAATGTGGGTATGTTGTGCGTAAGAGGCTAAAATTGTACTCTTCATGCCTGCAGGCAGACATACAAAATAATAATCCTGTCCTCATAATGAATGCTTTTATTCACTCAAAATAAACAATGCGATATATTACAAACAGATTTTAAAAGCAAAAGTAAAAGAATCCAAGTCAAAAAATGAAATTTAAAATATACATAAAGTCTTGAATACCTGACATGATGAACAGATGGTGATAACTGGTGCTACCTTAATTATGGCCACTGTAAAAGATACAGCAGCATTGTTTTATATCGTGTTGTAAAGCCTCCTCCAAAAGTCTCTCTTCCAAGTAGGAGGGAGGAATAACTATTAAAGAGTTATAGGTGTCTATAACAGGGTGGGATGAATAGTGAAAATGTGACAGGGTGGTGGAAAAAAACATGCCTGTCTCATCCTTCTGTCTGTTATTCACTCGTTGACCTGCTCTCTGATTGTCATGTCGTCACACTGATGTCTGTTTGTAGTTCTTGGTATCCAAAACCTTCTTTCCACACATTGCACATATTCCTGGAAAGACAGAAAAGGAAGAAAGAAAGAGAGACAACATTATATACAACTGAATTAGTGCAGCAGTAATGTTGTGTCAGCTGTTTTACTAAATGCATTTTGTTATATTTAAGTTCCTGTATCAATGTGTTTGTGAACGTATTATTTTTTAATCAAAAAACCTTTAGGCTTTTCCAGTTTTAATTTGATGCTACAGTAGTCCAATTGTTTTTTTTTTTTTAAACTTTTTTAAGGCAGCAGTTGATTTGTCCTTTCTTCTGTGTAAATATGTGTGTGTGTGTATTTCATGTTTCCTTTTCTTTAACTGGATTTAATTAAAGGAAATCTGTGCATTTTGCGTTTATTCTAATTGAGCTTCATATTTAGCATTTTTCAAAAAAATTACAGAAAATCAGCAATTGCCGATTTTGAAGTTCTCACAGTAAGCATCCATTCAAGTTTATTATTTATTATTTGTAACCGCATCATAAATGTAAATCTTACATTCCCTCTTCTTTAGCAATGTTTTGGCTGCCACCAATTTCTGACGGAAAAAAATCACTCTCTTTAGCATTTAGAAACTAATGATTATTGTTGTCTGAAGTTCAATGCTTGGCAAGTAGTCTATTTCTTAGAGTTTGTTTTTCCCCAATGCATACAGCACCTGCTGCAGACAAGGCTGATGAGGGCCATGAGCCTGAACCAAAACAGTCAAGCTGCAGGTGGGGAAAAAATATAAATAGGATCTAAATCTCCCAAGAGCTGTTGGGAACTGTAGAATTGGTAACTCTGCATGTGTTTGTGTGATCCATTTATACACACATATTGGTTAATTTTGTTTGCATCAGAGGGAATTTAGTGAATTTGACCTAATATATTTGACAAAGTTTTGATGGAAAGTTTGTGTGTGTGTGTGTGTATATATATATATATATATATATATATATATAAATAAATAACAGGGGAACTGATGACCCAGTGTGATGACTGAGGACTCTTCTCCTTTGACCCCTGTGGAGCTGAAAACAGATTTTTGATGGCCTGAATGCCCCTCTACTGACTTATAACACCTCCAAATCCTACATTACAGTTGGGGAAGAGCTGTAACATAACCAGTCTGACTGCGTTCCCAAAACGACTTAAGATGGGAAAACAGGGAAGGCTTTGTAAAGCAGGATGCGTCATGTTCCTGCCACAGAAAGACAGAGACTGCTGAGCCCCGATGTAGGACTGATGGTCTGGAGCTACTCGCCTCTCCTCCCACCGTCCAATGAAACAACATTTTAGCCAATCGACCTCTAATGGGACGATCAGCAGAGCAACGACTGGCTCTATTTACTTTTAAATACATGGCTCTGTTAAACAGTTTACACAGATTGATTGTAATTGGTTCATTAGAGCATTCTACGATACGTTTCTTTTTCATAGAACGGTTGATCCTGTTCATCTCACATACTCTGGATAACTACATCTATCATGTCAATCTGGAGGAAAAGGACGATGTGCATTTAATGTCAGCCGGTTCACTGCAGGCAAAAAAAAGAACGGAAAGAAAAGGGAGTGAAAAAAAAAAAGGAGCAAAAAGGAAAACAGCACAGCAAACCCACAAGAGGTGAAAGAACTGTACGACCGAGAAATCGACAAAAATTGAAAAAGGCAGACATAAAGTAAACACTACACAGTATGGACCATGGCAGTGTTTAAATACTGGTTAATGGAAACAAAAAGGTCAACAGACTTTGGCAGTAACAGGGAAAAAAAGCCTAAATCAAATGCCGGGGTCAATCATTTCATTTATACCCCTCAGGGTAAGACATTACTGCATCCCCCTGTCAGTTTTTCTCCTTATAGAACAATCAGCTCACTGTACATTATCACTCACTAATGTTTCACTGTTTTGTTGAAACTTCATAAACCAAATTCATTTTGTGAATATGGCTCTGTCCTTAATTTGAACTACACACAGGGACTTTAATCAGGCCTCTGACCTGGATGAACTGATGGCGATTGAACTTCAGATCATTTTATCCCTGCATCTTTAAAGTAACGTTTCTGTTCTCACTCTTTACAGAAATGTGTATGATAAACGATAAGACCACATGACTCCCCCCAGCTGTTTCAGTAACTATCAAGCAGTGTCAGCCTGGATTTGCTAATTCTAAAGATTGTTCTTAGATAGAGACTTGAGGACAGTTGGTTGGAGTTCACTAAAGTCATTGGCATGTTTGTTGAACAGTCTGGAACAGTGCCATCATGTACTGCACTTGAACCCACCCTCCACTTGTTTTTTACATTTTATTGTGTACCCGCTGCCCCTTTATCTGGCCTGGTTGTTGGCTGCTGATTGCAACCCCCTGCTTCAAGGTTCATCCAGATATGCTTTTTTCGAGATGCCCGCTTATTTGGATTTCATCATTCATTCTAAATATTAGACACAGTAGTGTGCTGGTGCCAGCGAACACACTTCACTGATTTAGCGTGATTACGTTATGTTTTGCTACGCATTTGGTGTTCATTCAAGGGGGTTCATTCAGGTATGAAAACATTTTTGACTCACTTGCCTGTAGTGAAATCTACCCATGCAGATACTCTCACTTCAAAGACAACATCTATGTGTCCCCTTTTCTCTCATCAATACAAAGACTTCATTTTCTAAGGGAACTGCTTCGAAAGAAAATTGTCCTTGATCAAAATGAGGACTTTGGATTTTAGATGGTTCATTTTTACAATGAATATACAAGAAAAAGTCAGGCCACATAAACTAAAAATAATCTAAGCTTCTACATTTACAAGGTGGAAAGCCAGAAAACAGTCTATTCTTGCAATTTAAACCAAGCTGAATGATAAGCTCCTCTGGTTTTGGCCTAGTTGTATGGAGTCATTGGTAGTATGGAGTCCAGTCTGAGTGAGTTCATACCTTTCTTATATGCACAGCCCTGACAGTAGTGGGATCCAGACTGATGGACAGAGCTCTTGCAGATCCTGCAGATAGCAAATCCTGTCTTGCTGTACGGGTCAAATCTAAGAGGAAGACATGTTAGAGAGCCATGATGTATGACGCAACAATATGATTGATGACATGAAGAATACAGCACTTTGATTTTTATGCAATTCATTTACCTGGCTTTCTTTGAAGTCAGCATCTTGTTTTCGTTTAGCTTACGTCCACCCCCCTCTGATGAAAGAAGAAGCAACTCAATTAAACATCGTAACTTAAGCTGGATAATATGTGACAATTGAAAAAACAGGAAATTAAAAGAGAAAACATGAAGGTTATTTGTTGCTCTCTCGCGTTTTATGACATTGGTTGATAGCTTGAAAAGATCAAACAAGCTCTTTGATGAAGATATCCTGGGTTTGGGGTTCTTAAAATTCCAAGATGACAATGCCAGGATTCATCGGGCTCAAATTGTGAAAGAGTGGTTCAGGGTGCATGAGACATCATTGTCACACATGGATTGGCCACCACAGAGTCCAGACCTTAACCCCCATAGAGAATCTTTGGGATGTCCTGGAGAAGACTTTGCGCAGTGGTCCGACTCTCCCGTCATCATCAATACAATTTATCGGTGAAAAATTAAACGCAACACTGGATGGAAAATAAATCTTGTGACATTGCAGAAGCTTATCGGAACAATGCCACGGCGAATGTGTGCCGTCATCAAAGCTAAAGGCGGTCCAACGAAATATTAGAGTGTGTGATCTTTTTTTTTTTTTTTTTGGTGGCAACTTTTTTTCCCGGCCAGGCAGTGTATGTATGTAGTAGTAGTTATCATTTAAAGGTGTAGGCTGAAGCTTTATCTTATTACACCTACCCTTATTACAAATCTTATTATTTAAGACACTACTAGACAAAACAAAACAAACGAAACAGAAGTCACACTCACACAAAAAATAATCAAACCGACTTTTTAGATTTGTTAAGCACCATTTTTTTTTAAACAAAAATTTAAATCTGGAAAGTGAACTACACATTCGTATTCCACAAATTAACCCCTTTTACTGAAATACACCTGTTCTTTACGTTTGTCCTTACCTTCGTTTTTTTTTTTTTTTTTTATATACACAAACCTATTCCCCTTCAGTTCATACCGGCTCTCTCTAGTTTAAAAAAAACCTCTGAATACTGTTGAGAAGCAAATGATTGTGTGCCTTGTACATTATCTGAGCAGTTTGTAGATCTACTAGATCGCTGAATGTTAAAGCGTGTATGTTAATAAAAAGTGCGTTCATCGGTTCGTAATAATCAGATCTATTTACAATTCTTTTTTCTGTAGCATGGAAATGGGATGAATGTTGGTTTTGTATGCGTTTCCCCACACCTCCACACAGTAGGTAATGTATGGAACTATGAGTGCACAATACAATATACACAGTGAGTTTTGATTCAGGAATTCTTCAGTTTTACATAATATTGCATAATACATAATTACATAATGGGTTTTAGACATTTTTGTTTGTACATTATTAATGTGTGGTTTCCAACAGTGTAATTTCCCAGTTTGAGATGAATAAATTACATCTATCTATCTATCTATAAATCTAAACTATCAATTAAAGAAAAAAGGTGTTAAGATTATTGATGAGGAAAATAACACATCAGTGCACTGGTGAGATAAATTACAGGCTTCAATCTTCTATCATTATGTACAACCTTTAAACTGTAAACAAATGTATAAGATAAACATTTCACGCCACACATTACATGCACTCTATCTGTCTTGTTATGCATTTACTTAATAAGGAAGATTTTAATCAATAGAAATGTGTCCTGAATGTGAAGGTGACCTCATATTGACCTGAATGTCTTTTTACAACAACACTGGAGGAGAAAACAGCTGAGTTTTGCAGAATGTTTATTTAATTCACCTGTTGTATTTCGTGCTCCATCCTTCCAGGTGTCAGGTGTGATGACTTTACCGAGTTTCTTCTCACCTGAAACAATAAAAAACAATCATTTCTTGTCGGTAAACACATCGACTGAACGAATAAACACGTTTTAATGAGTGAGCTAGAAGTCTCCATTCTCCGTTAAAAGCCCAAATAGTAGATCATACGTGAACACAAAGAACACGTGACCAGTGTGATACGTACACTTTTCACAAACCATCTTGACTTTATGTTATTTTCAATCAAAGCAGTCGACTGTTGACGATCAAAACAACAATATTAGCTGAGCATTAGCTTTCTCGTTCCGTGTTTGTAAACTTCCGTTCCTGCCTTCCTTCCTGTTCTCGCGCAACACTCAAAACACTTGATTGGTCAATTTTTTATGGCAACCTCGTATTGATTGGTTGATGCATCCGTGTGTCGCGTAAAGTTTCTCTTACTGACGCTGATTGGTTAAGTGATGGTTCGACATTCGCAGAGATAACTACTCTTCAAAATAAAAGTCCGCTAAAAGGTTTCGTTTATGGTACAGGTGCAAGAGGAATAATATATTTAGTAGTCTTTTCAAGCATAACAAAGGAGTCAAATCAGGAACCCAAAGAAACTGTTTAACTATGCATAGCCAGCCTACCTTTACAGCATTGAATAAGCAAGTATTAGGTTAACTGGATTAGGAAAAGGTATATAACCACAACCATATTTATTTAAAAAGTAATAATTAAACGCAGAAAACGCAGAAATTTGTAAATTAGCTTTAAATAACTGGGAATGAATCAGATAATGAATCAGAAAAAAATAAGCCATTACAATTCTTTTTTCAAAAAAGTTGGGAATTTCAAGACTTCTAACATGGACTTTCTCAGTTTCTAAATGCATTACACTAGCCGTCTCATTTAGTTTGTTTTGGGGAATAATTGTATTTTTTACGTAATAAAACATAAAACTCTTGGTCTTAATACACACACACACGATTACACACACAAACAAGCAAACAGTGTATTTACAGGCCTGCAGTTGTTATATTTATGGAGTTCAAGTGTTTAAACTACTTTTTGTCCAACGTTGCCTTGTTTTATGTGAAGTGTGTCAATTCTTTTGGCTGTATATGAGAGTAATGTAAATTGTATTTGACCACACTTGTGGCCAATGAATGTTATTCTGATGTTCAAGTTACCATTGGACTTTTATTGTGAAGTCCAGGCGGAAGTGAATATTACTCCATGTTTACGGAAGAAGGGTCAAGAAACATCCATTGATTCACCCTTCTTCGTACATATGCTGCTGGATTAAAGACTTTTGTGTGTTTTTTTTTTGTTTTTTTTTCTCGTCCTCTTGTTGTAGACAGGCGACGGCTTCACGATGTGGGACCATGAGATCAGAGCCATGGCGTCCACTCACTGCATCATCGCCGCCTCGGTGTTCATGGCGACCGTCCTACCTGCGGTGCTCGTGCCGGGCTTCTCGGTGTACGGGACTCACCTGCTGTGGATCTACTCGGTGTCCGGTGCGGTTATCGCGGTCAGTGTCGCCGTCTTCTGGCTGCTCGGCATCACACCGCCCGCCAAGAAGCACACAGTGGGATACAAGGTACAAGTGAGTGTGACTGCTGTGTCTGTTTGTATGAGAGGGATGAAATGGATTAACTGAATATATATATAATATAATGTGTTAACAATAATAATAATAATACTAACTTTATATTTATATAGCACCTTTTAAAAACACAGGTTTACAAAGTGCTTTGACAAACAAGAACAAACTAAACCAAACACAGAAGAACATAAACAACAGCAAGAACAAAACAAATGCAAAATACTAAAAATAATTAAACAGAAAAGAACTCTAAGTGCACGATACCAACAGACATGTATAACCCGACCATCACAAGAACCATCATAAGAACCCAGGCAACACAAGAACCATCATAAGAACCCAGGCAACACAAGAACCATCATAAGAACCCAACAACACAAGAACCATTATAAGAACCCAACAACACAAGAACCATCATAAGAACCCAACAACACAAGAACCATCATAAGAACCCAGGCAACACAAGAACCATCATAAGAACCCAGGCAACACAAGAACCATCATAAGAACCCAACAACACAAGAACCATTATAAGAACCCAACAACACAAGAACCATCATAAGAACCCAACAACACAAGAACCATCATAAGAACCCAACAACACAAGAACCATCATAAGAACCCAGGCAACACAAGAACCATCATAAGAACCCAACAACACAAGAACCATTATAAGAACCCAGGCAACACAAGAACCATCGTAAGAACCCAACAACACAAGAACCATCATAAGAACCCAACAACACAAGAACCATCATAAGAACCCAACAACACAAGAACCATCATAAGAACCCAGGCAACACAAGAACCATCGTAAGAACCCAACAACACAAGAACCATCATAAGAACCCAACAACACAAGAACCATCATAAGAACCCAGGAAACACAAGAACCATCATAAGAACCCAGGCAACACAAGAACCATCATAAGAACCCAGGCAACACAAGAACCATCATAAGAACCCAGGAAACACAAGAACCATCATAAGAAGCCAACAACACAAGAACCATCATAAGAACCCAGGCAACACAAGAACCATCATAAGAACCCAGCCAACACAAGAACCATCATAAGAACCCAACAACACAAGAACCATCATAAGAACCCAGGCAACACAAGAACCATCATAAGAACCCAGGCAACACAAGAACCATCATAAGAACCCAGCCAACACAAGAACCATCATAAGAACCCAGGCAACACAAGAACCATCATAAGAACCCAGCCAACACAAGAACCATCATAAGAACCCAACAACACAAGAACCATCATAAGAACCCAGGCAACACAAGAACCATCGTAAGAACCCAGGCAACACAAGAACCATCATAAGAACCCAGGCAACACAAGAACCATCGTAAGAACCCAGGCAACACAAGAACCATCGTAAGAACCCAACAACACAAGAACCATCATAAGAACCCAACAACACAAGAACCATTATAAGAACCCAGGCAACACAAGAACCATCATAAGAACCCAACAACACAAGAACCATCATAAGAACCCAGGCAACACAAGAACCATTATAAGAACCCAAGCAACACAAGAACCCAACAACACAAGAACCATTATAAGAACCTAGGCAACACAAGATCCATGATAAGAACCCAGGAAACACAAGAACCATGATAAGAACCCAGGCAACACAAGAACCATCATAAGAACCCAGGAAACACAAGAACCATCATAAGAACCCAGGCAACACAAGAACCATCATAAGAACCCAGGAAATACAAGAACCATCATAAGAACCCAGGAAACACAAGAACCATCATAAGAACCCAGGCAACACAAGAACCATCATAAGAACCCAGGCAACACAAGAACCATCATAAGAACCCAGGAAACACAAGAACCATCATAAGAACCCAGGCAACACAAGAACCATCATAAGAACCCAGGCAACACAAGAACCCAACAACACGAGCTGAGACCAAGAGGAACCAAAGATTTAAAAATATGTAAGAAACTAAAAGAGCTAAAAAAAGATAACAGCAATAAGAAGGTAAGAGCAGGAAAAGAAATAGAAACAAGTGGTTAAAGGATCAAAAAACCCAAAACTATAATATTAATAAAAATAAAAAGTAAATATAAATATGAAACATAAATAGACAAAGTAAGTACAATAAGAAATTACCAAATTAAAACACAAGAGGAGTTAAGATATGAGCATAAATACGAGATAAGACCATAAATAAAAGAATGGTAAGAAGTAAAAGAAGATAAAAATAGTAAAACCAGGAAGAAAAGACATTAAGAAGACGACATCACATAAAAGCAAGTCTGTAAAAGTATGTTTTAAGAAGGGATTTAAAAGAATTGAGGGAATCTGTGAGTCTTGAAAGATCTGTGTTAACTCCCAAAAAATAAATCAGACCAAAGTGAGATTTAAAATGCAGATTGTTTATTATTTGACTGAAGAAAAAACGAACATTTAAACTTCACATGTTTACATTTTAAACACAACCCTTTCATTTGTTCTGTTGTAAAGTTTTAGTAAATGATTTATTTACTTCATTTTCTTAACTTGGGTTTCTTTCTGCAGCTGTCAAGGTTGTTTCGTTCCTGTCTGTACTTCATCCTGTCGTGCCTGTTCTTCCACACAGTGGTGGTTCTCTATGGAGCTCCGCTGATTGAGTGAGTAGACGCTGATGCTCATGTACTCCACCTGCATGCGTAGAAAGATGTTAAATAGAAAACAAAATGACAAGAGTGAGTAATTACGGAAAACTTGATGCTCCTTTACAAATGTAACACCCACAAACAATAAATTAGAATTAAACTACGTGTACAAATTTGTACACCATGATCATTTTCCATCCATTATCTCTGTACGTTTTATTTTTGGGCGTCAGATTTAAATCCCTTTTTTTTGCTTGGTTATAACACTGAGCCTTTACTTCCTGGTTTGTGTTTCAGGTCAGCTTTAGAGACGTTCTCCCTCGCGGTGCTGTTAACCTCTCTGACCACGCTGAGGTGTCTTTGTGTCCTCGGACCCAACGTCCAGGCCTGGATACGAGTGTTCAGTCGACACGGGTAACCCAGAATATATATATATACATTTTTTTATCTTCTTTTCCTTCTGCCATTCATTTCATGTCCCATCTTTTGTCTTTTAATTTGAATGTTGTACCCCGTCTCCACAGAGCTATGTCCGTGTGGGACACCTGTCTACAGATCACTGTGGCCTGCACGCTGGTGGGGGCCTGGGTGGGAGCATTCCCGATACCTCTGGACTGGGACAGGCCTTGGCAGGTTGGCACACATAAAACTGTCAGAAATTCCTTTTTGTAGTTTAATAGTTGTGTTTTTTTTTTTAACGTAAAAGGGGGAAGCACCCGTAGCAGTAACACCTAGACTTCAGACAGACTTCAAACAGATTTTTACCAGCAACAGAAGTCTTTTTCTGCCTTACCTTCATCATTTAGCTTCCCCTCCCCTGGCAGAGTTCAGATCTTGGTCCTCCATGGTTTTCTCTGTTCACAAGAATCGTTTGTTTCCATTCAGCAGTTTTACATACAACCTTCTCAAGTATGGAATTATTATTCAACACAGGGACCATGATATAAAAAAAAACAAAAGATCATTTAAAAACAGTTCTATGCACACAAAAAAACATCAAGAGGACAGAAATGCGAATAAGAGGTCGACCATGGTAATTGGAATATAACTAAATGTTGTTTTTTTTTATCTTCAGAGGTCCCTCTTTATTAAATCTGAAAATGACATATGGTTTAATCTTTGGTGAAAAAGGAAAGATGACATATGATATGTTCAACTCGTCCTGATCTGTCAGTGCTATCCCAGAGTGTTTTGACACTCTGAACCTGTGAACGCTCAGACTCACCTTATCTGTCTTCCTGTAGGCTTGGCCTGTGTCCTGCAGCCTGGGTGCTATGATCGGTTTCTTGACCGGGCTTGTTGCTGCTCCTGCCTGGATCCACTATCATCGCAAACAGCTCACATACAAGTGCAAGTGATGGAGAGATATACTGTATGAATGTGATCATGAGGGTATTTTCTCTAACCCTGCAGTTTTCCTTGACCATGTACTGATTATTTATTGGGAACTCTCACTATGTTTGCTACCTGTAGGACAGATTCTTTTCTCTATGAGCAATATTATTTTGTACACATGAAGGCTGAATATGTTTCTGGAGACTTTTGACATGAATAAATCATAACTTCTTTCTAAGTGTGCATTTATTTGGGGGGGGTTTAGAGATTTATACCTGACTTGAATGAGCGCAGCTAGAAGATGTGTTCACCTACATCTACTGTGGAAGTATTGTTTGCACAGATGGTGGGTAAGATGTCTGAAATCAAGATCAAACTGGGGAGGCTGGAACAGCTTTTGTTACCCATCTGGAGCTTAAAGAAAATAGTTAAAAGGCAAACTCTGGATATTCAACACCAAATTTAGTCGAGGATGCTGTTTTCATTTAGAAACATTGAGAATGCAAAAAATCTTGAAGACCAGGGGCCGTATTCATGAAGCCTCCTAAGTACTAGAAGTTGCTTCTCGTGACCAAATTCTTAGAATCAGGACATTTTCTAAGAATTTTCCTTTAAAGTTAAGACTAGGGGCGCTGGTGGCATGCGTCCCATGTATGGAGGGTGTAGTCTACTAAGCAGGCGTCCCAGGCTCGATTCCGACCTGTGGTTCCTTTCCCGCATGTCATTCCCCACACTCTCTCCACGATTTAATCTCTATCCACGTCCTGTCGCTCCAATAAAGGCACAAAAGCCAAAAAATAAATCTTTTTTTTTTTTTTTTAAGTCTTGGATCTTCGTAAAGAGGAAAATTATTCACAAAGTGTCTTAGCCCTTAAAAGAGCTCCTGAGGTGTGAAACTGTTAATAGTGAGGAGGACTTTTTCTCAAGCTGAGGAGAAAATGGAGAAATATTCTGCAAGCACTATTGCAGATCATATTATTGGATTCAATCATAATAGAAACTGGATCAGTTTTATTTTTTGTTAATTATTCATGAATTTCACATTTTTATTTCAAGAATCTGACAAAATAACACTCCTGAAAGATGGCCGCAAGAACATTTCTTAAAGAGTGTATTAGTCTTTATTATGGCAGCATATTCCACTTTATACTGGATCGTCTGTGTGATCAGTTTCAGTTCAATAAAAAACCTTTTTATTTTTATATAATGTATTTGTCCATTAAAAGGCACCTAAACAGGAACACCAAAGAGTGCAAAGTAGAAACATAAAACATCAAATAAATAAAGTAGACTATAGATATACTTAAGTGGACAGAGATTGGAATAACAAAGAAAAAGAAATATGTAACCACAGCTGTATGAAAGTAAACTAATGGGTAAAACATCTATTTATCTCCTCTAGCTCACTCTGACACATGGGGTACCCTTATTCTTTAAAATAATAAAACACCTATAAGGATCTGCTGTCACACAGCAATAGAATAAACTGTACTTCTTTAACGCTTTCAAGTGAAACTGTACAGACTTCAATGTTGTTGTTGCCGTCTTGGTATTCTTACTCCACCCTTTGTGTGCAAAGGGAAGACATTTGTCTTTCGTTCACACTGTGCAAAGACATAGGCTACAATACAAACATCCGTATACCACGTAGTAAAGAAAAAACAGAAAAACACATACATTATAATTATAATTACTATAAAAGCTGCAATAAAAGGATCGCCTAGTGCGAAGGAACAAAGTGTGCTGAGGTAGCAGGCCCGATTTAAAAAACAACTTTTATTTGCCCTGAAGGCAGCAGCTGAAAGAAGTGATTCAAAGGATGGCTGCTGTCCTCTAAAGTGTTGAAACTAATTTAAATCTATAAAAATAAATTGTAAAAACCTGCTACATAGGTTTCGGGGTTTGTCTCCTCCTGCTGGGCTGTGTGTGAACCAAGCTTCTATACTGACAGCTTCAGGAGGAGCTGAAAATATTGATACTTTTAAACCTAAACTAAAGACGTACCTATTTAGTCAATATCTTTTTCTGTATATTTCAATTCTAAATTCATTTTTTTTAATTTCCTATTGGTGTGCATTAGTCTCTACTTCTCTACTTCTAAATCAATGGTCATTTCTACCCTGTTTTCTCACCTTTTTTTTAATGTTTCTTCTTGTTTTTCAGTCGCTGTAAAGCATTCCCAAAGTGGGGATCAGGATCGCTCAAGACAAGAGGCAGGTCACAAGGTGCCTTCCAAAAAACGAATAAGCTAATTTTACCCATTGCCCTTGAAATATCCACAAAAGAAAGGGGGATCAATAAAAATAAAAAAACTTATCATGAAATTATATTTACGTGTGGAAATACTGAAAGTGTCGGTCTGCACATGACAGCAACAATGTAGGTGTCTGCTACTCTTTACACACAAAGACACAGTCTTTCTATGTCCACACAGTGCTCAGATCTAAACATGGAAATGAGTTGTATTCCACGATGAGCAATTATTACAATAAATTACAATATAAAATAATTTAATGGTTTTGAGGTTGTTGTATTCTTTTCTGTTCTTTTGTTTACCAGGGTTTGGATAGGCTGCTTAATGCATGTGTGACGTGATCTTATTTTGGGGGTCACAAGCTGAAAAGTTTGGGAACTCCTGCTTGACGCTCCTCTGACTTGGGTGTGTACTATCATTTTGAACCTCCACACTGCACTGAAAACAGATTGATTAACCCTAACATGTAAGCCCACATGAGGAAGTTAATTTACCTTCAAAAATGTCAGCAGCTTTACTGACTAATTCAGGTGACGGGGGCGGTATATTGACAGCTAGAAGGCACAGATGTTTCATTCTGTTGAACAGCTGTTGCGCTACTATTTTCTCCTTATGTCTCTTTCAACCCCATTTCAGGTGGGCGGGACTAAGACTCAAGGAGACAAGGAAAGGAAAGGAATTGAGGACGTAAAAACTAAGATATAAGAATAAGTCTATTTGTAAAATATGTCTCTGTTATTTGTCTTTTGAATCTGAAAATTCTCAAACCTGTAGATGGCGCTGTTGGTCAACCTGCATGTATGCTGTGTGTGTGTGTGTGTGTGTGTGTGTGTGTGTGTGTGTGTGTGTGTGTGTGTGTGTGTGTGTGTGTGTGTGAGAGAGCTGAGAGGTTATAAATGAAGACAAGAACTCAAGCCTTACTCTCATTTGCAAAGTAATAAAAACTAATCAGCATTATGGTTGGGCAGTCATTTATTGAAAGAGTCTCCGGGAAAAGTTTAAGACAAAGTGCAAAACTTGCTGCAAAGTGAACTTCCATCTCTCACACACACACACACACACACACACACACACACACACACACACACACACACACACACACACACACACACACACACACACACACACACACACACACACCAACGTCGTTCTGCACCTGAAGCTGACTACTGATGAATACTGTTCCTTTTTAAACTCCCATTAATCTTGCTCCAACTCTATTTCAACTCCCTCCTCCCTCTCCCGCTCTCATTCTCATTCCACCTTTTCACATCCTCAGGCGACCATATTGATTCCCTCTCATTTTAGGGGCATTAATTTCCCTCCTTTCAAGCCGCCCACGTCCCTTGTTCCCCCTCCCAGCCGGTAACCATGAATGAAAGTTACATTTTCTGCATTGCAGTGTCAAACTGAAATGTAAATGAGGACTGTAGCCTGCAAACTGTCTCGTCACTGTCACACAAAACAGCTGAAGTAATAACACGCAAAAATAAGAGACGTGTTTTGTAAGATTGGTGGACAGTTTGTGCATAGTGCTGGGGGCAGAACTGTCCATCTGCCCTGTGTTTGAACTCTTATGTAAAGTTGTTGCCAGGGAGAAATTCGGAAAATAGCCTAGAGCAAAAAGGGAAAAAAGCAATTTGCAATAACCATACAGGAAGGGGACGGATTTCAAAACCTCTTCAGTAGCCTACATACACTTACAACACCAATCAACACTTCTTTTTTTAAACCTCAATCCCTGCCTCCCTGTCTCTGATGAAATTCAGTATGACCTCACTCTGGTACCTCTATTACCCTCATTCTCCAGTCAGTATTTCCTATTTCCACTTTGCCATCACCTGTGGAGAGCAAAGAAAGTGGCGAGTGTGGCCCTGAGAGAGCAGAATATCTCACCTCCGGCTTCCTTGTAGTGTGAATGCATTTATTGGAGATATGATTCATAGATGTCGCCGCACCGGGCATGTCACATTCGTGTGTCTCTTCATGTCCCTTTGAGATGCTCTTTTATGTGTAATTGATGTACTTTGTGGACTGAAATGTCGACGGATTTGCTTTGTTCATGCGCTCAATTGGGTTTGTGTTCATTTCGTCTGCCAGACAAGTAGAAGGCCATCACACACACACACACACAAAAGCTAGCTCCTGCTTCTCAAATTGCTCTCCTCATTCAATCTCAGAGAACTTTATTTATTCATTATTTGTTCTCAGGCTCTGCTATTGTGGCAGGGGTATTGTGAGAAGAGGTAATTTGTCACTCCCCTCCCCTGCCCTCCCCCAAGCCTTTTCTTTCCCTTTTGTTTCTTCAAGCTGGTTGTTGTGTCTGGTGTTAGCAGAGCTGTTGTGTTTCTGCATTGTTTCACTCAGGAGGGACTGACTGAAAGAGTTGGGGAATACTGTGAATTAGGATGTATGCTTTGCTCTGTGCAGGGGATCATCCAAAATGAAACCTCCCTAAATCGATGCATTTAAGGTATAGCATTAAATCAAATGGCCGTGTAACGCATATAGATTAATGCTGCAGGGAACAGAAAACTAAACCCAACCGAAAAAAAACCCCTGCCTTGCAGATCCACCCAACCACCCTGCCATTTGGAAACCTTCTTGATATGACAGCCCTCAAACCAAATGTTCCGTCTCACTGCTCATAATAATTCTCTGCAGCAAGGCAACCTTTGAAGCCAAGAAAGTTTCGATTAATGCCGAGTACATGAACAGCTCAGCCCCGTAAGACGAAGTCAGCATGGTGAACAAGTGAACCGCGAACAGACCAAACCAAAGTTGAGATTGATGAATTGGATTGCCAAAAAACGTGACACTAAGAGAATTCTTATGTCGCAGTATGACGCTAACATGTCAGCTGGAACAGTTTATAAATTTGCAATTTCTTATTATGTCCATACTTTTGACATAACTTATTCTGTTGGGCAACCCTTTCAACTACACACCACAAAGCCTGATTTCTGCAATTGTTTCTTCATGAA